TTTATCCATCCCCATAATTATTTACGTATTGCAAAACGATTTGTACATCCTGCAGATTGTGCATGCGTACACGCGGGAAAGGCGAGATGCAGGTCGGCGATTTCTCAAAGTATACTGCACAATGGGTCATGAAACTCTCTATTCCTCATAACAACTATCAAGATCACTTTGTTGCATGTCGCCTGAATCAACAGCTGTAGAGAAAGACAACTTCAGAGTGCAGCAAGAGGCTGGCGGTTAAGCTCAGTGATCGTAACCACCACTGGTTACACCGTCGTCTGTCCGGGACTCACAACTCGTCGGACGTCCCTTTCAGCAGGTCCCTACCAATTGGCCCTTACCGAACGGCATGCCGTGGAACGGCTGGATGGATGGAGTAACCACCGGGATACCGTAACCCCCCGATGTCGAGCGTACATGCTTCAGGGTGTCCCCCTGGCATGTCGACTCAGTCACGGGCTGAGTAGCCGGAGTTCGTGCTACGTGGCTTTCGCCTGAGGGTGCTGAAGGACAACAGCTGTCCCACACGTTAGTTGACTATGCAGAGCGCAGAACATTGTGCCATCTAGGGTATTCATATCCACGACCTGGGGTCGTGTATCGGTGGAAACAAGACATAAGTCTATTGTTCGATGATGTGGTTCTCGAAATGGTAACGTACGTCAATGTGATTCGTACGCCAATAATGTCCAGAGTGGTTCATAATGTGAATGCTGCTCTTACAGTATTGACCTCGTAAGGAGGAATAGCTGTGGTGATGGGATGTCCCTTGTCACCGACTGCTTGTTTGAAACTCAGGCGCCCTTGTGCAAATTTGCTCAGAAGGATTAGCGCTGCCTCGTTCTCGAGAGGACGAAACGAGCTTCGTATGCTCTTAGCGATCCGAGATATCGCAGAGTAGCGATAAAATGTCACACTAAACCCGCGACGCATCAACACAGTTGGCGTAGTCACTGTCTACATGCTCGTGATGCGGATGGAGTGATTATACGCACTACCTACGACTAAATCATAGTCTATCGTTCGTTGGATGTATCCGATAGCGAACATGGTCTCCTGTTTGTAGCAGGGCCGGGGCTCGTGAGAAACTGGCACAGTTGTAGGGCGACGCATGCCAGGTCTAGTCGGGTTCTGATCATGAGATTAATGATGCTGTCGACGACCGACCGATGTGTCGTGCCCACCATGGACTGGCGTTCTGCATCGTTCTGAGGATACATCTACTCAGACAGCTTGACCTTGAACTCCATTGGAGTGAGGGTTGGTTTTTAATTCTCCATGCTGAACCTCATGATGTTCGTGGTTGCATATTGGGACTGATGCATTGCGAGAGTTCGAGCAGAACAATCTCGAACAATGTAAATCCGAGAATGAACTTGAGAACCCCAAGGCCGTGCATCTGAAAGCGCACCCTTGTTTGATAGGTTGCAGCATGTCCAGTAGGGAGCCATGAGGACCAGTTCGTCATCATCGACGACCATTGGTACGAGTTGTTGAACAACAATCGACGACGTTTGGACGTCAGAGTTGTGGATAACTTCCGTAGTGTAGGCAGAGTATGACAAAGTTGATGCCTCCCGAAGGGGCAATTGGAGTAGTGTCTAGCACTTCTAGTACAACATGTACTTGCCAAACTGCGTACACCGAACCACAAACTAGAGCCTCCGCAAGTATAAGTAGAGGTGTGGTGGTCATCGCCCCCCCAAATGGCGCAGATGTGGCAGCCTCCCCAAATCAAGGTCGAGGTATCGTCCATCTACCCCCCCCCAGGGGTGAAGGCATACATGAGCACAAGGTTTGTGCCTCAATGTTGAGTAGCTTGAACCCTCGAGAAGTCTCAGGTGATCCACTGTACGTGCACAACATGCCTCGGAGGCAGCTTGTTCACACACGTGGATGTGCTTACAAGGGTGTAAGGCATGCACCCAAGACACGTAGTCGCCGTAGTCTACATGGGATTGATGTCACAGAGGATGCGGCGTGTCCCCCACTAATTGTGGTAGTCGCAGGGTGTTCATGAGGATCACTGCGCAAAATATTTCTTCACCCGCAACAACTGTGGTAAATACCATGCAGTAACTTTGTGCGAGAAATGATGGTGATCGTGGAGAGCTTTCACTCGGTTGGAGTGATGGAGATGACATTTATCCATGTGTAGGACACGTCCAACAAATGATCTGGGATGTGATAACCATCCTTCACATATATGTGTTTGGTCGCTGTTGGCCCCAGCGACGTGAAGTCGAACTGTGCCCCGCCAGACAAATTGGAGTTGGTGGCCATCGGATGATTTGTCGGTCGACTTCTGAAAGTCCTGGAAAATGCAACATGTGAATGTTGTTCATCGATAACATGTCGAGGCATAAATGCCGACATGTGTGGGTGAAGACATCAATGAATAGTCTGGCCAGGTTGGCACGTGTGTTCTGAGACACGAACGTACAGGTCGAGGCGCGAAATTCGCTGCTACTCGGTGGGGCGCAGCCTTAGTCAGTGGGCGGAGCGCGTCGACTGCTGTTGTGGCAGTAAATTACGCACAACAGTCACGGCAGCTGCCGTGGTATTTGTCTTGATAATCTACGCGGGCAAATTGTCGCGGTTAAGCTCAACGATCACTGAGCTTAACCGCCAGCCTCTTGCTGCACTCTGAAGTTGTCTTTCTCTACAGCTGTTGATTCAGGCGACATGCAACAAAGTGATCTTGATAGTTGTTATGAGGAATAGAGAGTTTCATGACCCATTGTGCAGTATACTTTGAGAAATCGCCGACCTGCATCTCGCCTTTCCCGCGTGTACGCATGCACAATCTGCAGGATGTACAAATCATTTTGCAATACGTAAATAATTATGGGGATGGATAAAATACGCATACTGAATACAAATATCAATATAAAGACGTTCTAGCGAATATTAGAGAGGTTTAGCAACTTTTCCAGACCGCATCCATTCCGTACATTTTTGACAACAACCGCGTTATGGATATGGTCTGGAATATAAAATATTTGATTTAGCACAATTCCAGTCACCATCCATACATTCATCCGGTAAGTTATTCCGGATACACTGTGATTTCACCATCGCCACCGAAGGACGACGACTCATGCCAATCATGCAGACAGACGGCGTCATGCTTCTGTTGATGGCTAAGACCGTGCGTCAACGCCAATTCGTCCTTGCCCTGCTGGCTACACAACACGTCGAACGGCCACTGATCCCCGAAGTTCGTTTCAACCTGGACGCCATGACGGATGCTAACGCAGTGCTCGACTACCGCTTTGACGTCGTGGGGAATCCGCAAACTCGGCTACTATGTAGCACTGCGGGAGGAAGCGTGTGTAGTTGAGGGCAAAATGCACAATGAATTAACTGAAGATCTACAAAGATCTCCTTAATCCTCATCACTATGAAATCTTCTTAATCTACTTCACTACTTCTACACTAATATGCACTTTTGTATACAATGGATGCGGGTGCGGTTGAGACATTGGGGAACTTCACTAGGCTAGCGATTCTAAGCCATACTTGCCCTTGAGACACATTCCCAGGCAAGCATTAGCTAGGGTGCGTTATGAGCCAGGTACTTAGGAGCTGGGTGCGGGCAAGGTGGTGACAAGCCGTTAACCCACCTGTCACATCGCTACATTCTCCCCCTGACGTCTTGCTACACCATGAAACGCCTTGACTCCAAGTCTTGGACGAGTTGCTTGAAGTGCACAACATGCTTGATGTCCTTCATCAGTTCCCACGTGGCTTCGC